TACTATACAGAAACTTTGAATCTCTTAATGCGCAGTAACTGAATAATAACTATGTAGTTACGATTAAATTTAGTATTAATTATGTAATTACTACGCCGTTACTATTCAGTTACTGCGTATTTAGATGCTTAAATTTCTGTAAAATATAGCTATAACAAATTTAAAAATATACAATTAAATAACAAAATTAATTACAAAAGATTATAAAAAAATTATTTACGGAACAAATAATTTGTTTTTATAAACAATAAAACATTAGAAATAAAGATAGTAAATATAAAAACTAAAGGAGTTAGTTATGCACAGGGTTACCCTAATAAAATTTTGAGATATTTAAAAGAAAGCACAATGCACCATCTAATCCTGTCACTGGTTGAATCAATGAATATCGGGTGCATACCAGGAGAAAAGTTTCCTGATATGTATACATTATTGGGCAAAAATTGTCGAATACCCAAAAACTCTGTAATTTAAATTTTAAATTATTATATATAACCCTTCTATATATCACAAACTACACTATAACTCTAAATTTTAGCAAAAAAAAACATTATTAACACCAACAACCATATGTGTACAATATAATATCTGTAAAATTTTATAGTAATTAGTAAGATTCTTATTAATAACTTAGTCATTTAATTTAAACATACAGTATATTTATTTTTAAAAATTAATTTTATTTCTGTGGATTATACATTTTAAAATTTTATAATCTAATTAAATAATTTAGCAATATTAGATTTATTTTAGTAATTTTGTATAGTTTAAATAATATAAAAGTTTTTAAATTAAATTAAAAAATTGCAAATAGACAAATATTGATTAATTTTAAAAATATATATCTTATATAATAATAACTATACAATTTTTAAATTATATAATTAATTTGTATAATAATCATAAAAAATAAAATATTTATACAAAAAATTCAAGATTATTAAACCAGATAAAAATTTCTAAATTTTCAAGATTATATTTTTTTAAAAATGCTTTTTAAATAAATTTAGTACAACCATACCCCTCTATAATCATCCAGTTTGCTTTGCGTAAAAAACATGTGATTATAAAAGTTTTATTATAATGTGCTTATATTTTTTAAAATTTATTAATGAATTTTCAAGATTTAAGGTGATTATAGAGGAATATAACTGTATTATAAACCTAGATTAATAAAATAATGTTGAACGACTTCGGGATCACTTGAACTAAAACTTGGTTCAAGGTAAACGACTTCGGGTTCACTTGAACCAATATTTAGCTATTACTGCGACAATCATAATGCCAAATTAAAAGCAGAGTGAATTTTAAAAAACCATCTAATTTAATATTTATTTAATTAAACGTTAGTGTTAGAGATATTTGAGGTTATATTTATAGTAAAATTGCTTCCCCGACATTTTTTATCAAACACCAAAGTAGGTTTAGACTACTGTTCCTTTTATTTTTTGCATTTTTTTCTTTTTTCACTTGTTTCGTCAGGTTAGTCAAAATTTTACGATTTTATTAGTCAACCCTAACATTACCAATTTAAAAAATTTCACTAATCATGTGCTGGCCAATCTTTTTTTTTAATGCTAACACTACTGAATTTTTTTTTCTTTGATTTTTTTTTTTTTTAAAAAAAAACAAAAATTAAAGATATTTAAAAATAATCTTTTAGCCAAAAAAAAAAAATTCTTTATATTCATTTATTAAAATTAATAATAACAAAAAAAAAAAAAAACAGAAATAACTCAAAGTTTTAATTAAGAAACCACCTTCTGCGGCCTAATCCTCATGAAATTTTAATAATAGAAACCCTATTTTCCTAACTTAACCTTAATTCTAACACTAATTCAAACCCAAACTATAATGGTATATTCTCGGTAAAAATTACAGTGGGCAATTTTTGTGGGTACAATACCTAAGATGTTAGGTAACGTTGATCTAAAAAGAACCAAAAGAATGCGAAAAAAGCATCACTGAAAGAACGATGAAGAAACCACTAAAAGAATGACGTAAGAGCCCCAAAAGAAAACAAAAAAAGTCAAAAAAAATAACGAAGAATACCAGGAAAGCACAAAAAAAATGATGAAAAAATCACCAAAAAAGCAACGAAGGATCACTGAAAAAACAAAAAAGCGACAATATATATATATATATATATATATAAACATTAACCTCAACGTTAACCTAAGGTTGGGTTTAACATTAACCAAAAAAACAACCAAAAAAGACAAGAAAAAAGTATTAAAAGAATGAACCATCGAAAGGCAACCAAGAACCACCAAAAAATAATGCAAAAAAAAATATTATTTAGAGTTAAAAAAAGCACGAATATCTGTCGATCATCAAAAATTTACTTTAATTTGTAAAAATAGAAATAGAAAGAGTTACCGTTACGTAACAGATAAATTAATTACTAAAATGAGGGATCAGGTAGTAATTTATACGCATCATGTGATTTTTAATTTACTAATTTGTTAGTAATCAATTTAAAAAACTACCTGGCTTTAGACGACCTCTAAAACAAGCACATGTTTGGGGTAGTAAATTTTTAACAGCTGAATTCGGAAAATTCTACTCGTTATGAGCTATGTACTTTCTAAATTTGTAATCTAAACACATCGACAATTTCTTAAGTAAGTTTCGCCCGCACCAATAAATACGAAGATATTCGGGTCTTTATCATATTTTAAAGCTTTACTTCTTTCTCTTTGTATCAAATGAATAATTTTTAATCATAACTATAAAGAGCAATATTTTTAATTATCGTTAGCGTTTGTTTATTTATGTTCATAAATTTATTTATTATTCATTCTTCTAATATTTATTCGTAAAATACATGGGTTATCATGCCTCATTCAAGTGGAAAACAACGAGGCCCTTATGCGACTATGGCATGTACTAATTGTCGACGAAAACATGTAAGGTGTTCTGAAGAGGCTAATTGCACATATTGTGCGTCTCATGGGCTTAAGTGTATTTATGTTTAATCGGTTAAAAAACGAGGACCAAAAATGACCAATAAATCAAACGTTTTTGAAAGTAACTTTATTGAAACTGTAAATATCGAACAGGAACACACATTTACTTCAAATGAAATTCAATTTAGCATATCCATTCTTTCATATTTTAACTATGACAAAGAACTTCAATTAATTCAAAGTGATTTCTTTTCCAATCAAGTACATATTGATACCAATTACATTATGACAAATAACATCATGCCTGTTAACTATAGTGACACATTTCTTTGCCTAACAATTCTTTCTTTTTCTCTTTCTCTCCCTCTTCTTCTTCCCCTATTGCTTCTAATTTAGATTATTTATTGGACCCTTTTGAGATTAGGCTATCAGTCGATTTTGTTAATATTATCGCCCTTAAACTTTTTTTTCTTTTTAAAAAATATGAATAAAAGGCTAAGTAATGTATTGGGCAGAATTATTTTTATAATTATTATCCATTAACTGGTGTAAAAATAAAATAAATAAACTTTAAATATTTGATTTAATTTGATTACATGTTCGTGAGGGAAAGAAATAATTATATTTTCTTGAACGTAGCAAATTATCATTATTATTATTATTTTGCAAGAGTATGACTTAGTATCTTGATCGTTTTTCAACCATAGAAAGAATATAGACTATCTGACCAGAATTTAATGAAAAAAAATTACTATCGGTATTAGTATTTTTTTTTAAAAAAGATTGCGTTTATCTTTTCCAAGTTTTCTTGGCTTTTATGTTCGGTTGTTTAATATGCAACACAAATTAACTCATAAAATTTTCAATATAACAAATTTGCACCCCAAAATTAATTCTACTTCTTTGCATAAATATATGTAGTTCTTTTATCATACCAATATAAAGAACTTTTAAAGTATTAACCATCTAATATTTAAGATTAGATTACACCGAAGGTCTGGATTTTTTCGTATATTCAGGCATTTGTTATAAGCCTCTGCCTATCAACCTTCGTTAAATTTTTCCTTTTGTTAATGAAACCTTATATTTAATCAAAGGTCTCACGAGCGAATCCATAAGTACTGAAGAAAATATATGCAGATGATAAAAGATCAATTATTTGAAACGATACGTCAATTGATAATTGAAAAATGACACTCAAAATATACATAATTCTGCTTATATAAATACATTAATCAATCATGTTATATTAAAGACGACAACAAATCTCATATGACTAAGGTAATTGAATAAATTGTTAAAAAATACAGAAATATGTAAAATGCTCTGGAATGCAATGTATACTTTTATTGATTCAAGTAAAAAACAGACAAAAACAAATAGTAGAGTGTAATAATGGAACTAAATTCTTAACGGTTCTGAAATTAACTTTGATGGAATATTGGGAAATGACTTTTTATACTGATTTTAGATGAATATCAAAACTTCTATACTCCTTGTGAAATTGGACCCTTTTTATAAAGCTATTACTAACACTAGCTATGTTATGCAAAACAACTATCTTAATTTATCTTAAAGAACAAGTTCATCAATAAATTTTTTTTTAAATCCTATTACTGTGTTATCTACCATAATGGAGCACATCATAATTTTTATTTGCAATAGAGCTATAAGTATATTTTAGTAGAAGTATTAAAAATATATAAAATTAAAATTAAGAATTAGTTACTAAACATAAACAATATTTATTTAATATAGATAGATTTAAAATTACCGTATTTCACTATATAAAATACCCTGCGTGATAAATAATGTAGATCAATTTTTAAAATATTATTTATACATCAAGTGATGTATAATGCATGTGATTTAAATTTTTTCAAATGCAAAAAAGTTGTTTTCTTTTTCTGGCATATGATATATGAACAAGTTCTGTACGTGGCACATCACTAAGCATCATAGGACGACATTCGTATGATTGGTAGATCTACCTGTGATTCCCCGTGATAATTAACCAATCAAATCAATCAAAAAAATTAATTTCGCAAGTAAATTTTTATTATTATTAGCGAAGCTTTACATT